CCTCAATACGTATATGGTTTCTCTGGGTTGATGTATATAATTTTTTTTTGTATTTTCAATTTAATTAGGCAATTACTGCTGGAGTTTTAGTAGGGTGCAGTGATGTAATTGCCCAGAAGATTTCTGGGGTCAAAAGGCTTCAATTCAGAAGATTACTTCTTCTAATGGTATTTGTTTAAATTTCTTTATTACTTTTATGTTTTAAGTTCTCTAATCTTGATGATTATTGATAGTTTTTGGTAGGTTAATTATTGTGTTAATTGTTTTGGTTGTATGATAATTGTTTTTTTTTTATATGTTTTGTTTGTTTAAATTGCAGCTGTATGGATTTGCATATTCAGGACCCTTTGGCCATTTCCTTCATAAATTGATGGATGTGATATTTCAAGGAAAAAAGGGTAATAAAACTGTTGCTAAAAAGGTTAGACTCTCAAAGTTGTGTGTTTTGTAGTTTTTATCTTTCGCGGTGCCTACAACAACAACTGTAATCCGATTACAAGTGAGGTTTGAGGAGGATAGAGAGTACGCAACTGTTATGGCTAAAAATAATACAATTAGTTACTAAAATCAACAGTTTCTCTTTTGATGAATTTCCAGGTTTTGTTGGAACAGTTGACAACATCTCCTTGGAACAACTTCTTTTTTATGATGTACTATGGCTTGGTTGTTGAAGGTACGCTAGCTCGTTTCATCTTCAAATGCTAAGTAACTGAATTTCAATCTATTTGGTTTTGTTAAAGTTGATTAGAAGACTATTAGTATTACATTTCAGATCTTATTGAGTTTTCTCTGCACAGACCACGAATGAAAAAATAGCATTTTGTTAAACATTTGATACTCTTGTACTAAGTTGGAATAATACTCTGCAATGTTTTAACTATACTTAGTGTTGAAAAAATGATTCGGTATCTCAAAAAGAATTATTTTGTCTATTAGTAAACGGAAAGACGATTGATTCTATAGCCTTAACATGGCGCTATTAATCCTTTTCATTACTCATTATAAGATGCCTCTAATTTGGTTTATAACAGATCTTTCTATTCATGATTATTGTGATTAATCTTCTATATCCATCGAAGCTTTAATGACATTGATAGTCTCCATCACCTTTTGCTTTTGGCAGTGAGCTTGTGCTTGGGCTTCGTTTTGTGAATCTTTGTTAGTTTATGTGCTCCTAATTTTTATACTAGAAGGGGGTTGTTGAGTCCTATAGGATACACTTATACCGGGTGAAATATCTAAGGACAATGTCTTTTGACACGCCTCACGCTATGAAAATGTTCGTGATGGAGTATTTTTCATAAGATTTCCAACACTTGGTTGGTAGCAGTAGAAATCCTCATACAGGGTACCCTAATACATGGTTTAATCCAATTAAGGATGAGACAATATATGTTGATCTGTGAAATCCGATATTAAATCTCTCTGAATTCCTTAATGCTAGGCACTTTTCTGGTTTATAAAGTAGAACCATGGAGAGTTTAAACTATGACGACAGAGAAAATATAGCCTGAGAGTTGTCATACAACATGCTGGAGGAGAACTCGTCTTCCTGATGATCTTCTCTGTTAAATTGCCAATGGCTAAGAAATTTAGGTTGTAACCAGTGTTCGTCTAGAGCATTTTTTTGAGAATATAATTAAGTAGATTAAAGTGTGCTCTCTCTCACGGCTTAAACTTTTAGATGAGATGGTTACACACTTCTAAACACTCTTTGCTATACTGTTGTCACATACGGTATAGCAACAAAGAAAGATAGGCAATAGATTATGTTCCTTCTCGTATGACCATTTGTATATCTGAGCTTTATTTAACAAGCATGACGCTAATTAGATGAAATGCAGTCTATCGGAAGCCAACAATCTTCCTTCGAGCAACTTTTTTTGGACATCTTGTAGAAATATCTTGATGCAGTTCCAAACATGCCAGTGGAAAAAGATAAAAAGAACTGTACTATTGATAAGCTACTGCAAATTACCATCAATAGATCTTTGTATTTCTTTTTGCAGAGGAAATCTTGTTTCCGAAAAATAGTCTTGAATTGTCATTATTCACAGTCAACAATGTAGGTGTCTGACATGACGCTAATTCTTGTATCACAGGAAGGCCATGGGGTCTTGTCAAAAACAAGGTTCGAAAGGACTATCCGTTTATTCAACTCACTGCATGGAAGGTAGGATCGTATAATCAAATCTTTTTTCACAAGAAACATGGAGAGAAATTCTGTTTTGTCATACCAAATTAGTATAACTAATACTCAAGTATGATATTATGCAGTTTTGGCCAATTGTTGGCTGGATCAACTACCAGTACATGCCCCTGCAGTTCCGCGTTCTATACCACAGTTTTGTTGCTTCATGCTGGTGAGTATTTGTTCATGATGCTTTTGTTATGTGTATCCTTGGCAAGTGGAATTTGAGCTAGTTTAGTTACTTGTCATTTCTCACCTTTAAGCAATGAAAGTTTCGTTTTCATCTATGGATTGAACCCTCGGTAGGATACATTTCTACTACTAGACCATTAGTGCTTGTTGGTTTAAGACTTTGATATTTTTATTTACACTCTTCAAATTCATTTTTTGCTACAAAAAACCCGACCTCTAAAGGTCGGTTTGCAGTTTCCTGGTTTTTTCCACCTAAAGGGCAAACCTTTGGAGGTCGATTTTATTTAAAAAATATTTTCTTACTCGGAGAGTGAATATTACTAATGTTTTTCCCTCATTTGGATGTTTAGGGCAATTTTTCTGAACTTGAAGGCAAGATCCATAACAACTAAGAAGGCTTAGAAGCTGATGAAGGGTTCATCTGCATTTTCTCTCATTTGTCGGTGGTGGATGATTATGTTATACTATGTTTCTTGTGGAGGTTGCTTGCTTGGTATAATATGTATTGCAGCATGAGCTCATTATGAATTAATTCGAGTTTCGAGTATGAAAATTAAAGAATACAAGTTGTATCAATATGAGTGTTGTTTTGCATGACCAATAATCTTTCCCTCGAACTAAGTTCCACGTGGTGCATTACCATGATCCATAGATCAATTTTCGGGATAGAGTAAAATTACTCATATGAACGAACATTTATGGCCACCAAAGCTTAGGCGCTTCTTCTTGTGCGTATGCATGTTGAAGCTATCTTCGGCATGGTAAAGATAGTAATATACGCCATCACTCTATCATCTTCATACTCGTTTTATCAGCCATTGACTCTGATATTAGATGTTGGTCTATGTCAGTCCAAAGATACTTTTAACATAGTATGATATTATCTGTTTTGAATTAAACCTGCACGATATTTCCAAAAAGACCTAGTCGTCACAACATGTGAAAGCTCAATTTTTCATCATTGCCCAACAAAACTTGTACTATGTTTATCTCCTAAAAGGCACATATATGAAATTTGTGCAAAAATAGTCATAAATAACCTTGCGGAAGGCACACATTTATACTGTTGAACTTATGTTCCAAAGCACAAGTTCATATTACTGAACTTATGTCCCAAGGCACAAGTTATACCTAAGACATAAGTTCAACTTATGAACTTCTCAAGGCACAATGTTCTAAGCTGAGTTTATGTCCCAAGACACCGTTATGTCTTATCAGACAATTTTAAAGTTCGCAAGGCACATGTTATCACCTATAAGACATAAGTTCAGTGTATAAACTTCCATAAGGTATAATGTTCTAAAACTAAACTTATGCTTTATATATAGGGCATAAGCTACGCCTAACAATACCTTTGCCTTGTGAACTTTTTTTAATAGTTTTTTTTTTTTTTTTAATTTTAGAGGTATTTTTTCACGTTTTTATTACTTAAAGTGCTGAAGGGGAAAAGTTAAAAGACCACTTCAAAATAGGGGTATTTCTACGAATGCCCAAAAATCAACACGTGCCTGTTGAAATATAATCATCTTTTGCGAAGTAGCTGAAAACTAGTTACTTCTTTGGTTCCAAAATAGGTATCATCTTAGCAAAAATTATGTCTATTAAGAAATCAATAAATACAATGTGTAGTTTACTAAACTATTTCTATTTAATAAATGTTTCTTGAAAAATAAATCGTATTTAAAAAAATGAATTATAAGGATATAATTGAATAAAAAAAATGATGTATAAGGATATAATTGAAAAATAATACTAACTTTTGTCTTAAAATTTTAAGGTGATACTTATTTTGAGATAAAATTTTTTTTGCGAAAGCAACACTTATTTTGAAACGAAGGGAATATAACTTAAAAATTAATATAAGATAATAAAAAAAATAACCACCTTTTAAACTTACTACAATTTCTTTGGAGTTCCAAACATTTACAAGTGAAACACTAACCCGATATATATCACGGAGTTCAAAATTTCCTATATGATTGTTATGGGATATAGGCATTTATAAAAAACTTTTGATTTTCTTTCTATTTTTCTCTAGGAAGAGGAAGACACTAAAAGTTTTATGTTAAAGGCTATTTTTCAATAGTTTGAAATAATTATATATTGTCTTATTAATAAGGGTCAAAAATACTGCTCAAGTATTTGAATTGGTATAAAATTATCCTTCATTCACTTTTCGGCCTTAAAATACCCCTGATATCTACCTTTTGGCTAAAAAATACCCTCCATGTTAATCCTTTGACTCATATTTACCCTTATTTTTAATAGTTTCCTTAAAGTAAAATTATTAAATATTTATTTATTATGTTGCCTAATGTGATTGGTCCAAATTTAAACTCTTCTCAAATAAATAATACATAAATATTATTATGAGAAAAAGGACAAATATATCCCCAAATTATCGTAAATAGTATACAGATATCCTCTGTCATACTTTTGGGACATTGGTGCCCCTGCCGTCCAAAATCTAGAGCATATATGCCCTTCACTCTAACGGAAGACTAAATAGGAATACGTGACGCAATTTTATCCGTCGATCCGATATTTAATAAATGTCGGGCTGATGGATAAGATTATGACATGTGTATGTCCGTTAGTATAGAGGGTATATATGCTCTAGTTTTTGGACGACAGGGGCACCAATGTCCCAAAAGTATGACGGAGGGTATCTGCATACCATTTACGATAGTTCGGGGGTATATTTATCCTTTTTCCTATTATTATTTTATAAAGGGAAAAAGGACAAATATACCCTTAAACTATCATAAATGGTATGTAGATACCCTCTGTCATACTTTTGAGACATTGGTGCCCTGCCGTCCAAAAAATAGAGCATATATGCCCTTCACTCTAACGGAAGACTAAATAAGGACATGTGGCGCAATCTTAGCCGTCGATCTGATATTTAATAAATGTCGAGTAGGTGGATAAGATTATGACACGTGTATGTCCGTTAGTGCAAAGGGTATATATGCTATACTTTTTGAACGGCAGGGGCACCAATGTCTCAAAAGTATGACAAAGGGTATCTGTATACCATTTACGATAGTTTGGGGATATATTTGTCCTTTTTCCCTTTTATAAAACCACATATGATTCATTTTTGACCCGATACACTTGAAAATAATATTGAAAAAATAATTAATTTCATGATATTTTCCTATTGGCCTATTTTAAATCAACCCATAATTTATATAACCCAACTCATAAATGCGGATCCAACTTAAATCCATACTCACTCCGACTGATTGTCCATCTAAAAAAATTAATATTTTTATTAATATAATTTTTTTTATCATTAACCAAATTTCTTGTTCATTTTCTCTTTTTATTCCTTTTTTAATCTCGTATTCTTAAATTAGAATATCCGTGACTCAAACTTGAAATGAACTCACATGTTTATATTCTTTTAATTTGGGATGAGGGTGGGGATAGGAGAAATGATTATTTTTATTCTTTTATTTTGAATTTTGGGTACACACAAAAGTTAAATGCAGTATATTCGTACATATTTACTTAATTAAGTCATCTTTTATTAACCTAATTATTTCTATATGAATGTCATCATTATTTTCTCATTTTATTTTTCTCTTGTTTATCATAAATTGAATAAAAATTAAAATAGTAGACAAGATCCAAATAGAAAAAATAAAATGGAAGAGATAGGAGGTGAAGGGGTGGGTGGGGGAGGGGGAGGGGTGTAGAGAGTAGATGCCTAACCTATTTTTAAAAAAAATTTAATTAACTATGACATTTAAAATCAAGTCATGTGAGATCATATATTAAGTAATTTCAAGTTATTTTAACGAAAAAGGGCCTTAAATGCCGTTAAGCTATGAGATTTGACACAATATTGTCCTCCATCCACCTTATGAGTATGATCTGTTAGATATAAGGGTATTTTTGAGCCAAAAAGTTGACATCAAGGGTATTTGGGGGCCCAAAGATGGATGGAGGGTAGTTTTGTACCAATTCAAATAGTTGAAGAACATTTTAGGCCCTTCTTCGTTAATAATTTTATATTAGATTTCAAGTCAGTTACACTTAGATACATGTATTTTTGCTATCAGAGGAGAATTCAAGTATTGTATATGTCATTAGTCTGATCTTTTGTAGGAACTACCCATAATAATGAACTTGCAAAATGGATCTGTTTATCATAAAGAGATTCGTCGTTTCTAACGTTGCTTCACATTAATTGTTATTTGAACAAGTAAAAGTTATGTCTTGGTCCGAGTGGGGATATATCATTTCTTTTCTGCATGCTTGTATAATCTCTAGTTCTATCCTGATATCGGTTATCTTCCCAGAAGCTTCGGCTAATGGAAAAGATAATCTTTAAAGGAATAGAACCCCTGGTTGAAACCCCCCCACCCCCCGAGACCGATTCATTTGGTCCGACATGGGATGCCTGCCTCCGGTCCGGTAGGTCGGTTGCCCTCTAGCCAGTGACTAGCCCAGCTATGGAGCTAGGTGTACACCGCCACGTCGAGACTCTCTTTCGAAAGTGAGATACCGACTTTCATAAGAGGGAAAGATCACTCCGTCATGCAGCAGAGCAGTGTTCATCTAACTAGAAATTTCATAAGAGAAGAAGAATCGTAGCGTAGGGTCGACATAAACAATCGGTTAAAATAGTCTAATGAGAAAGCATATGTTCACGTTCGTAGTTGCAATAAGCTTTCTTTTTTGTTTCGAGATTGGCTTGGTCTTCAGTCTACCCTAATGAAACCTAAAATCTCACTCCCTCGCTTTCTCCTTCTGATAGACTAGCTTGCGCATAGATACATGTATTTGAGAGAGGCTAGCGAGATAGGAGAGAACAATCTGCGAGAGAATTAGATACATATGAATTCACTTGGATACAGTGTATCTAAAACAAATTATATCTAATTTTGACTTCATGTATCCGAGATACATGTATATGAACATATCTTAGCTCCCAGATACATGTATCAAAAGTTCAAAATCTGGTAAGATCTGCAATTTTGCAAATTAGTATAAATTTTAGTAATTAACTTCTAAACTAGTGAAATTCGAACTCTTTCTCTTTTGAATAAATTAACCCACCGGGCCCTGCTTTCTCTTAAGAATTTTCAAATTTGTTAACGTTTCAACCAGATTTTAGTTACTCAATTCCTTTTCAGTACACAAACTAAACGCAAATATTCCTTTTTTTTTTTTTTTTTTTTTTACCTTGTCTACTTCAAACAAAAAGTAATAAAACAAATAATTGAGTCGTGAATTAAATGATTTTAGTGGTTGGCGGCAATATCACATGGCATGAAGGGTGAGGATTACAAATCACGTTATTCATGAGCTGCGTTAGCAAGTGAATATATGTACTTTTAGTGGTCATACTTTATATTTACATATAAATTCGTTGTTACGTGTCTTTTCAAATTCACTACGAATAAAGTTATTAAATTTTAATTTCATAGTTCGTAAATAAACATGGGGTTTAGATTAAAGTTACTTGCTTCGGTGAACTCGTAAGTTATACATTGGTTCGGTCTTTTGTATATGTATGTTATTTAAAATTAAAAACATATATAGAGTATACGTATTACGTGTTCCAATGAAAATTGAGTTAATAATTAATATATGTAACATTTGTGATGAGTATACGTACATATAAGCTATACATTGGTTCGGTCTTTTGTATATGTATGTTATTTAAAATAATTTCTAAGTTTGATGAAATCGGATAAGGTGGATATCTAGAATTAAGTTTGAGATATGTATTCTCAAACTTCAAAGTTAATTCTGAAATATTTTACCTTATCTTGCGTATCGAATAACAGTTCTCTATGTACGTTTAGATTTAGTTTAGAAAATTGATTTTGAGATGAGTTAAGTAAACGAAAGCAAACATTCAATCCTCAATTTGAAATCGATGATTTATTGCATTACGGCGTATAAAATTATTTAAGAAACTTTTTAAAAGTAGCAATAATTAAAGCATCTTTTTGGCACAAATTTAGCTCTTTAGCCATTGATATTGAGGAGTATAGGGGAAAATTATTTTTTCCCTACATTAAATGAATCCAATGGCTTTTATACATATATATATATATATATTGGATTATGAAAACTTTATGCCTTTTAAATAACAACGCAATAATGGAACTGAAAGTAAAAGAGTAAAACTATAGTTCAAAATTCAAATTAATAAAATGTGACCACACGTTGTATAAATGCTCTTTTGATCTCACAATAAACTCAATTTTTAACTTGGGCAATTATTTAGAAGCCGTAACACTGCTGAAATATTAAAAAAATCATATTTCGTTGGGAGATAATTAATACATTTTCCAACAATTGAATTCATCATATTAAAAAAAATCACACAGTAAACACGTCATTTTTAATAATTATTTTTTAAGAACTAGTACTTCCTCTGTCCTTAATTACTTGTCCAATTTTTTTATTTTTTTTATTTGTGTCTTTTGACTTGTCCATGTTGATGAATAAAAAAAGGACAATTTTTTTTTACCTATTATACGCTCAATTAATTAATTTCGATAAAGGTAGAATTTCTTGAAAATCTTAAATAAATACTGTAACCTTAATTTTTTTTCCTATTTTTTATTAATCAATTACTCATTTTCGAGATTTACCGAAAAAATAAAATTTAAATAAAATTGTTGAAAACGGGTCGGGTAGTTTATTTAAAAAGGAGGTTGATTTATGGGTCGAATTAGGTGTTTATGGGTTCGAATTTTTTAGGGGCATAATTGATCCCTTTCCATTTATATATAAGGGATATGGGTTTGAAAAATACCTCAACTTTGGTCGAATTTGCTGTTGCGATACTAAACTTTCATGAGGACCTATTACCTCCCTAGACTAATTAATACCGC